ATGTTCTTGGTAGTATTCTTACCTCTTTGTCTGGTCTGCCTTAGTCTGTTATCTGCCTCCACCCAGAGCCAAAGGCTCCCAAATCTGCACTGTGGCCCAGACCCTTCTGCCTAACACCAGACTTGAGTGCCCAAACAATTACCAGACATTTCCTCTTGGGTCTCCCTAAGGCTCTCAAAACCACCAGGCTCCAAACTAAACTCCTTATCTACCCTGCACATCTACTCTTCCTCTGTGCCTTGTCTTGAGGAACTTTCTATCACCCCTTTCTTCCTGTCCCATAGCACCTGAGATCCTCCTGAGATCTCCTTGTGTCCTTACTGCTACTGCCCTAGTTTGAATCTAATTCTCCCAAATCACTGCAGTTGCTTCTTTTTTTAATTTATTATTTTTATTTTATGTGTATCCTGCACGTAGGTAAGTGCACCCATGTCAGGCAATGCCCGCGGAGGTCAGAAGAGGCCGCTGAATCCCCTGGAACTGGAGTTACGGACAGTTGTTAGCTGCCATGTGGGTGTTGGGATTCGAACCCAGGTCTTCTGCAAGAACAACCAGTGTTCTCAACCACTGAGCCGTCTCTCCAGCCCCTGCAATTGCTTCTTAATTGATCTATCTCAATTCTCCTCACATCCTGCAGAGTGAACTTTCTGAAATACCAGTTGTCTTCCTGCCCTGTTCCCTCTGCTATAGCTCTGCTGAGCTGTATGTTCCCACACGATGCTGACATTTTTTTCAAATCTCAGTGTGTAATTATGCTGCTCTTGTCAATGCCCTTCCACTGCTATGGTTCTCTGTGTTGTGAACTCTTCTTATCCACAACTACATCTTCCCCAACTCATCTCCCACATACTTGCAGGCCTTTGCTATGTGTGCTTAACAGCTTGAGCAGCAGCCTGTCACACCTCTTACTACACTGTAACTTAGTATTGTCTTGTCTTTTGCTGTCTCTCCTGCGAGACTATCAGTTTTTGAGACAGGGTTTCTTGTGGCCCAGGCAAGCTGTGAACTCAGTATGTAGCTGAGGCTCCTTTTGCTCCTGATTCCCCTGCCTTCGGGTTCACCTCTGCAGTGTTAGGCTTACAGGCATGTGCCACAGCATGAACTTGGCAACTTACTTTCTAATGTTTAAAATTTTATATTACATTTACTTATGAGAGAGAGAGAGAGAGAGAGAGAGAGAGAGAGAGAGAGAGAGAGAGCAAGCAACTTGTGGAAGTCAGCTTGCTCTACCATGTGGTCCCAGGGTTTGAACTTCAGTTGTTGGACTTGGTTGCAGGCGACTTTATCCACTGCTCTTCTTTTTTCATCTTTATGATCTGATGACTTTTTCTTACAGTCTGATGCTTCCTAAAAATTATTTATGTTTTCTGAGATAGTCTCACTGTGTAGCTCAGGTTGACGTTGAACTTGTGGTGATCCTCCTGCTCAGGTTTCCCAATAAGTGCTGGGATTACAGGTACAAATCACCATGCTTGGCTCATTTAATTACTTAGTTTCGAAACTGGGTCTCTAGCCCAGGCTGGCCTGGAACTTGGTTTGTAGACTAGGGAGACCTCTGATCCTCCTGCTTCTACCTCCCCAGTGCTGGGATTACAGGTGTGCATGTTACAGTCAGTTTACATGGTATAAGGATGGAACCCAGGGCTTCTTTCTTGCATGCTAAGCAAGCACTCTACCAACCAAACTATAACCCCAGCCCCTCATTTATTTTCTGAACCGGCAATACATTCATCGTACTGAAAATCTCGAAGTTAGAGAATAAAGGAAAAAATAAAGTGAAAAGTCTCTCTCTTCCTCCTGGCCCCAGTCCAGTCTCTCTCTCCCAGTAGCAATCAATATAATACATTTCTTGTGATTATTTCTAAATACACATATGGTTCCTCTTTTATATACAAATGGTATGATGCTCTACAGTATGCTCCACCTGTTCTCACTCAACTGTGTACAGATTATTTCATATCGCTGCATAAAGAATTTCCTTATTCTTTGTTTTGGATTTTTTATTATTTTGAGGCAGGGTCTCCTTGTATACCTCACCTGGTTTGGAACTATGTAGACCAGGCTGGCCTCAATCTCACAGAGCTCTGCCTGCCTCTGCCTCCTAAGTGCTGGAAATAAAGACTTGCGCCCCCATGCCCAGTTTTTTATTCTTTATAGTGATTCAGTTTTCCATTGTGGATGTATCCAAATTTAGCCAATGACTATTAGGTTGTTCCCAAACTTTTGAGAATACAAAATGATGTACCTTCACAAAAGTGGACATGTTGGTGCACACCTTTAATCCCAGCACTCGTGATATGGAGGCAGGTGGATAGGTGGATTTCTGTGAGTTTTAGGGCAGTCTGATCTACAGAGTGAGTTCCAGGTCAGCTGGGGCTACAAGGAGGCCTTGTCTCAAAAAAAAAAAAAAAAAAAAAAGCTATTTCCTAGGTATGTGAGGGGAAACAGACTCCTAGAAGCAGCACTGCCACATAGAGGGCAGGTCTGTTTTTATGTTTACCATGTAGTATTCATTTTACTGCAGTCTGTAGGTATCATCTCATTTATCTCTGCATCCCTTGCCACTGTTTTAGAGCCTAGAACAGAACAGGCATTTGATATATGTGCACACACATATTATATTTTGTTTTAGAAAAGGGTCTCATGTAGCCCAAGATGGCCTTGAACTTGATATATAGCTGAGGATGACCTTGAACTTTTGATCCTCTGAGGACCTCTATCTTTTGTGAACTGGTATGACAGGTATTGTATCACCACATTTTGTTTCTGTGGTACTAGGATTGAACCAAGGGCTTCCTGCATTCTAGGCAAGTGGTCTACCAACTGAGCTACATCTCTAGCCCCATTCAGTAGACTTCTATTAAAAAAAAAATGGGGAAAAAAAAACTAGTTCCATTAGCAAAGGCTCCCTTCTTTAGTAGGATACTTTCTCTGACACCTTTAGTAGTAAATCTCTACATCCGGTGTTCACGTCAAACCAAATGATTCATCTTCAAATCCAATTCCACTCTTTTGGAGAAAAGTTATTCCAACTTTATTATTATAGTATAATCAAGATTCTTCTTCATTAGCTTTGTTGTAAAATAGGTCACCTTCACTTCTTTTAATTAAAATTTAAAAATTTAACCTTCATATCTGTTCTAATTATAATAACCTGTGCCTTCACCCAGTATTTGGTGAAATCTCTTAACACTTTTTACTAGCTCCTCTATGGCCTGTAACCCTAGAAATTTTGCATAGTCCACAGATTCTTTTAGGGGGTTGTTTGTTGCTTTTATAAATCCTCTACTTGTCTTGGGTTCATTTTTTTTTAATTTATTTTTATTTTTTAGTTATGTAACTTCTCTGTGCATCTTTATTCATTTTTAAATAGGGATGTTACAGGGTTGTGAGGATTTAATGAGGTATAGATATTGGTGCTTGGCACACTGTAATGTTGATAGAGACAATTCTTTGTGCTTTTGCTCATCTTCTGCTGTATGCCAAGAATGCAAACTCCTGGTGAGTCTTTTCCAGAGCCATTTCTCAGTGTTTCTGGACTGTGTTAGCAAGCAGCCTTGAGGGATAAAGAAATAGCATCTCCCTTTTGGGCAAAGAACAAGTTTGCTTTATAGCTTTCTATAGAATGCAAATAGTCCTCTGTCTTTGGTTTGTAGAATCTTGTGTGTTTTACATCATTTATGAAACAGTACCAGATTCACTTGTAACCTTATCAGTAGGATAAAAATCAAATGGGGTAGTAATTGCTCATTAGCTATTTTCATTATTTTTTTTCCTCTTACTCTTTTTTTTTGCAAGGTGAGTGTTCTGGGCTGTGATGTAAATCTGTGAAAGGCTCAGCATTTATCTGAGTCCTGTGTTTCATCCACAGGGTACTTGGTTGGGTAAGAGGAACTGACACAAATATGCTGAAGCTGATACTGTTTCCTGTGTCTTGAGTAATAGTCAAGTAAAGATTTGTAGAATCTTGTGTGTTCTACATCTATGAAACATTAACAGATTAACTTGTGGCCTTATCAGCAGGGTAAAACCAGATGTAACTTAATTGCTCACGTTAGCTATTTTCATTATTTTTTCTCTTCTTGTCTTCACCCAGGCACTTTGCACATCATCAACAAGTTTGTATTTTGGAAGGTAGCCAAAAACATTGATTTCCATTTTTATAAAGAATTCTCTTGTTGCTGCTGGGAGAAACAAAATGAATGACATGAATGACTTCAAAATTACTGATTAATATCCAGTTCTAAATCACCTAGGCTATTGTTTCCTCTACATAAATGCTTTTGTATAGTCGGATACAGTCTTTTGTTTGTTTTGTCTTTTTGAGACACAGTCTCCCTGTAGCCTGAACTCACATAGTGAGTTCCACCTGGCGTGCGCCACCATGCCCGGCCTGGATACAGTTTTTGTGGAGTTGCAATACATTGAAAGAATGTTGCACAAAACTGACCATGGCTTGGTTCCTGTTACTTCACTGCTGGGTTGCCTCTGGCCATGCTACGGTTCCGTTTCCTAATATGTGAACTAAGGAAATGAATTCAGGATCCGGTTGTTTCACTCGGGTGCTAAGTCCATCCAATAAGATGAACACATAAATGAACGAGCAATTTAAGATTGCGCTAAACCACAGACATTAACTAATCCTAACCATTACTAGTTTTTTTGCTTTTTGTTTTTGGTGCTGCGGATTGAACCTGGGGCCTGGCACACACTACTTCTGAGTTACAACCTACTCAACATCATAGGTCTCAGAGGTTATGAAATGAAAGAGAAAAAAGAAAGAAAAAAACCTCAATGAAATCCGAATTCTCCCTGCGTCAACCGCTGAACCGCTGCCTGGGTTAAGATGCTCACCATTCACCCACGGTACTGCGACTACAGACTAATAAACCACAACTCCCAGAAGGCTTTGCTCCCGGATGCGTCAGGCAACGACCCACTGCCACTCAGAACTACATCTCCCAGGAGGCCCCGCAGCGCACAACCGACCGCTTTTCCCCGCCCCTGCTCCCCTTTTCCCGGCCTGCAGAGCCGTGGCCGACTCGCTCCCGCGGTCGGCGGAGCGGGTGCGCGCCGGGGTCGCGCGGCTGCAGAGCAGGGCGAGCGCGCGCAGGAGGAGTGGAGGCGTAGGGGGGCGGCGGACGAGTCGGTTGCTCGCAAGATGGCGGACGAGGACGGGGAAGGAATTCACCCCTCAGCCCCTCACCGGAATGGAGGCGGCGGCGGTGGCGGGGGGTCTGGGCTCCACTGCGCCGGGAACGGCGGCGGGGGAGGCGGCGGCCCGCGGGTCGTGCGCATCGTCAAGTCAGAGTCCGGATACGGCTTCAACGTGCGGGGCCAAGTGAGCGAGGGCGGGCAACTGCGGAGCATCAACGGGGAGCTGTACGCGCCGCTGCAGCATGTGAGCGCCGTGCTGCCCGGGGGGGCGGCCGACCGGGCCGGGGTGCGCAAGGGGGACCGCATCCTGGAGGTGTGAGTATCACGGCCGCCGCCCCGCCTCTTCGTCCCCTCCCGCCCCAGCCCAGCACCCTGTCACCCAGGCCGCACCTCTCCCCGCCGCGGCGGCCCGCGACCCTCGCCCTCCCTCCCTCTCTGGGCCCCGGGGCTGCTCACCGCCCTCCCCGGCGGCCCCCGTTTCGGCCAGTGCTTTCCCGCTGTCCGCATGCCTAGGCTGTTTCCTTCCCGTACGGCACGCTGTTTTCTGCTCCTTGACGGCGTCTTTTCTGACCCAGCCAAAGCGTGCCCTCCCCAAGTTCTCATCTTCAGCATCATAGTTTCCTGTTCTCCACCACTCCCCTCAGTCCCTGTGGACTGTCCTTCTGCCCTCTAGACCCGGGAGGAGCTGTGGCCCGCCCCCCACCTTTCCTCCCTTCCCACTTCATCCCTCCCTCCCCTTAGTTACTCCTCCTTTATGGTAAAGCATACCGACATTTTTGGCACCGCCTGCCCTTTCCACCCCTCCTTTTTGTATTCCTACTACCAAGAGTATATGTTCACATCATTGCTTGCGTTTGGGGGGGAGGGGTTGACACTAGTTTGTCTTCTAATCCTGATACTGCAACCTGATTTTCAATCTGCTGTCTGCATCGCCCCATTCCTCTGAGTGCACCGCCTTTCTGGTTCCCCTGCCTTCACTTGAGCATCATTCTCACACTTTTGAGTCAGCTTTATGGTAGATCTCTTTTAGCTCCTACTTACCCCAAATTGCAATCCTTTTAGGTCTCCGACCTCTCTATTTTTCTCCTAGATGCTGTTGTAATCCCACACGACTTAATTTTATTCGCTCCTCTCGTTTGCTTCCCTTTCTCTTTTGAAGGCACCTTCTGCTGCTGCAACCCGCCTTCTGCTGCAGTCTCTCCCTCATCACACTCCTTCAGCCTTACTCCTCACCATATCCCTCAAAGCTCCCAGGATGTTGCATCGTTTGGCAGTTTGAATGCAGACTTCCTCCACTGGCCTACGTGTTAGACTTGTAATAGTGCACTGTACTAGATTCATCTGTGGTTGTTGGTTGAGTTGTAGGTGCTGTGTGCTCCCATTCCCATTCTTCAGTTCTGTATTTCTCTCCTTACTTTATTTATATTGTATATTCCTCCCCTCCACTCACACACTGGCTCTTCTCTTTCCGTGGTGAGATTTACCGTTTGTTTTTTTAAACATTTGGTTTTAGTTGTAATTTCCACAACTGCAAGTTTATTCTTTTGTAAAACAGTAGATTCTCTTAAGGTTTGTAGAGGGAAAGGTATCTTGTAGAGGAGTCCATCCTTATTCTTTCTGTACCCACTGTCTTTCCTCTGGATTCATTCATTCTGTTTCCTCATCCTTTCCAGTTCAAGAGATAGTAGTTCACCAAAGCACGTGTTGGGAGATCTTAGATATTCTGCCTTTCTTCTGACCTTTCTGAAAACAGATGCTTTCTTTTTTCACTACGGTATTACAGACTGGTTTCTAGTATTTTTCTGGGCATGTGTTCCTAGTCTTTTGAGGGGCAGGACATTAAGGTACAGAATGCAATAATGACCTTTTGGTGTTTTGTACTGGGGTACCTACTTACTTTCTTTCTAACTCAAAATCTGTGGCTGGTGGTTCCTTTGATAGAAGCTCATAGAAGTGTTGTTTTGCTTTCCCTTTGGAAATTAACTTTGGATTCAGCTATTTGTTTTTAAATTTAAAATATGTAAAGTTCTAAATGTAAAGTTTGATTATTTACAGTAGGATCCAAAACAATGCAACTAAAATTATCTGTAGGAGAATACAGCTAATGTGATCTGCCATGTGTCTATGCCAACAGCCATAGTTGGTGGCTTTTTGCTTTTGCTATAGTTTCTGCAGCAGAGTCCATCTTTATAAACTCATTACTGTAGAGAAAATCCTAGGTGATCCTGTAGGGCAGGAAGAGGAGTTTGCCTCATGCCACATTCCAGACCTTGAATCTGGGAAGTAGAAACACTAATGCTTTTTGGCACTATCCTTGGTGGTGCGAAAGAAGTTTGTTTCTTTAGAGGGCTGGGGAAAGAACACTGCCTAGGCAGACTCTCAGTGGAAGACTGGTGAAGATTGAAACTCTCCCTGGTATTGGTTTTGTACCTTCCAATTGTTTGCATTCAGATTTCAAATTCTTTGAAATTTCTATGCTACTGTAGAAGTAGCAAAAGTAACAGCTCAAAGCTGAGCTCTTCGGTAACTTGTGAGACCTTAGCTTTACTCCTCTTCTCCCTTTAGGTTTTCAAGTTAGAGGAGAAAATCAGTGACCAACTTTACCTTATTAATTAATTAATTTATTTATTTGAGGCAGGGGCACATGTAGCCCATGCTGTCCTTGAACTCACTGTGTGAGGATGACCTTGAATTTCTGGTTCACCTCCTGATTGCTGGAATTACAGGCATATGCTACTTGCTGGGTTTATGTGGTGCTGGCGAACCCAGGGCTTCATGTATGCTAGGCAAGTACTTTACCAACTCAGTTACATCCTCAGCCTGAGCTTTCATCTCTCACTAAGTTCTTAAGTTGACCTTTCTGTTGTTCCAGGAAAGCGTTCTGTGTTGATGAAGTGCCAAGTGGGGTCTGAGTTAGGGATAGGTGGATTATTACTGGATAGCTGTATCATTATGCACCAGGTCATAGGTGGATGTCAGGGCCTTCATAATTGCTGTTTGAGACTTCTCCCTATTTTAAACTCTTTTCCCCTATGTACAAATAGTTTTTATTCCAATTTTCATGAATCACAGTTGTTTGGCAACTGGTAGAGATGTGAAAGAATATTGACTGAGGTTTTAAGGGGATACAAGCTTGGACACTAGTAAGAGGGAGGGTTAATTTCTTTGTGCTTTATTTTTTTAATTTAATTTTTATTTATTTGTATGTGTGTGTGACTGCTGTCTCTGTGTGCACAATATGTGTGCAGGTGCCCTCTGAGGACAGAAGAGGGCATTGGATCTCAAACTGGAGTCACTGGCAATTGTAAGCTGCCAGGAATGGGTGCTGGGAACCCAACACTGTAAGGGCAGCACGTCCTAACCGCTTTGCCATCGCTCCAGCCCCTTTGTGTTTCTTTTCTATTTTATTTATTTATTTATTTATTTACTGTGTATGAGTGTATTGCCTGCATGTATGTAAGTGCACATGTCGTGCAGTGCCTGAGGAGGTCAGAAGAAGGCGCGGGATCCCCTAGAACTGGAGTTACAGACAGTTAGCCGCCATGTGGGTGCTGGGAATCGAATCTGGGTCCCTCTACAAGAGCAGCCAGTGCTCCTAACCACTGCGCCATTTCTCCAGGCCTCCTCCCCCTTTGTGTTTCCTTAGAGCCTGCTTACTAAGGCTCTGGCCTCATTGAATCTTGGGATAATTGTTAAAATCTATTCGAGGCAGTATTGGCTCACTTACCCTTTCAAGGCTGACTAGATTGTGACTGGTTTGAGAGACTCATGTTGCAGTATGAAGAAGCCCTCTGGGCTCTAAATTTTCCTACAGATGGAAAGTTTTCTTGACGAGCAATGTTGGTCTCCACCTAACATTTTTCCCAGTGTAATGTGTAATGCATGTTTTCCCTTTGATTTGTATGTACCTGGAGGCCAATGTGTGAAAGATGCTTTTAACAAATAGAACCAAAATAAATATATGTTTGCACTAATTATATAGTATGTGAAGTAACTGGCTTCAGCTTAATTTCCTTAAGGTTAAAATAGTTCTGAGGGCCCTTGATTGATTTCTTGAGAGTTGGCCTTAGGAGGATTTTAGTATGCAGTGGATGTGGATATGGGACTGCTTACAGTTTTTGAAGGATTGGGGGCAGGGGGAGCTTAGGTATTTGGGTAGTAGGATCTATTTTTTGGGTAGTAGGATCTATTTTAAATTTTTATTTGAGAGGGAGAGAGAGAGAGAGAGAGAGAGAGAGAGAGAGAGAGAGAGATTGAGATTGCACAAGGTCAGAGGACAGCTTTCAGGAATTGATTCTTACCTTCTACCTTGTTGAGGCAGGGTCTTCATTGGTACTGGTCTGCTTGGTATTCTAGGCTGACTGCCCATGAGCTTGGGGCCTCCTGTCTCTGCCTCCCATCTTCCCCATAGCTGTTGGTTTACGGACGTTTGAGTCAGTGCATCTGGCTTTTACAAAAGTTCCAGGGATCAGACTCAGGTGGTCAGGCTTGCAAAGCAAGTGCTTTAACCTGCCTGCCTCAAGCACTTTCATGTAAGCACTTCTGTTTGGCCGGGGAAATCAGATCTGTACACCTGAATCCTTAGGGGTGGTTTGCAAGTATTCCAATCATGATGTAGTTATGCTTTCCTCCTTAATGGCTAACTGATGATATACCCATCAACTTTCACGTGTTAAGGTTAAACCATAGGATAAATTATTAGACTGTATGTGCCATTTTGTTTATTGAGAGTCATTTTTTTTGCTTCATTTTTGTGTGAAAGTTTGAAAATCATTGAACAAAAAGAGGTTGGTGCTGTAAAAAGTACTTTGAGTCACGAAACGCTGACTAGAGTATCTTAACTGTTTTTAAAATTGTAACCAATTTTTCTTTGGCTCAGATTTTCCAGGTAGATTTTGATAATGTTTGAAATGGTTATTGAATAAAGGAAATTTTTTTATGGCAGAGTTCTCAAGCTTCAATAAGACTGAGAATCTCTTGGTTGTGTTTGTCAAAAATGCAGATTTGCAGGTTCACCTTTAAAGGCTGTGTTTCAGTAGATCTTTCAGGAGGCCTAGAAATCTTTACTTTTCACTCCTTTGCCAAGATGTAGGGAATGTAATATATGTAGACACATGCCCAAAACATGATAGATTTTAAGACTGTTTTCTCAGTTTTACTTCTTATTTGGTTATAGTAGGAGTCATTAGCTAAGACTCTGCTAACAAATAGTGATTTATTAGGCTCCTGTGTTCCAGACTAAGTGGAAGGTTAGTTAAGTACTAAGTATTCTGATTATGTATACTTAATTGGATCTTGCTATGCTCTTGCAGTAA